GGAGGAAAAGATGTATAATAATAAGGTTATTACGAGGATACTGCAAAGTATGTGTGTCGGTCGATACTTTCGCCTAACTGTCTTCGTGCATACTTTGCAGTATCCTCATAATAACCTCATAGTATTGTCTGAACTACAGCAAATGATATATGTTCTCAACGAATATATTTAGGTATTGGCCTACCCAATGATTTTGCAAATAATATTTTATAATCTTTCACCAATACAGAACAAAGTTGTGAGTCTTGTATAACATGATGTAATAATAATTGGAGGTTGATATCATTTTACTGGTATAATTATAGCTCTCGTATTTGATAACAGCAAGATGGTTTCAAAGTAATACAACCAGGGCGAACCAACGTACCACAATTATACATATTGAAGTAATTGCTTCTACCAACCTACGGCGTTAAGCATATCAGGATGGGGGATGCAACGAAACAATTACTCTTAGTATACTATCAACCACACAGCACACATAGGGAGGTATTGGCGACACAACGCAATGACGTCATACATGTGCCTGCATTTAGACATCAAAAGCTAATTTCGCTAAATATGATTTAATTTTCATGTACAACACCAGCTGTCCTTTATTTATTAACTTATATTACCCAAACATTGTAATTTTTATTTAAAATGTTTTGTACTCATCAAGCAATTTTAAAGCGCGGTGGTCGTCGCGCAGCGCGTGTTCGAATTTCATGTAAATAAACAATGTATTTTACATGCGTTGTATACGTCGCTATGAGTCCCATATCGAACAGGACGCGGCACGACGACTGCCGCGCTTTAATTAAAAACAGCTGATAGTATAGCCAATGTACAGCTATAATAAGAATGGTAGGGTTAATGATGTACAACACACAGCACTCAATCTCGACAGATTTATACTTGAACTTGGAATGACGGAGAGCGAACTACGACGACGGATCACAGGGCGAACTACGACGACAAGTCAACACGCGTGCTACTCACTGGTACGACTCTCAACGAACAAAGAGGTCAACGAATGTACACTTCTGCCTTATCCTCGAGTACATCGCGTCATTACCAAGCTCTCCGCGGATTCCGCATCCCAACTAAGTATTTTACAATCGTGACTGTAATTCCAGTCAATATTTGTATGGTTCAATACATATCATTATTGTTCATCATTCTATGTGACATATACTAGTGTACGGTCTAACAGCGTCGACGACACAAGAAAATCAAACTACAGCCAGGCGAGTTACAATATTTCCCCGAGTTCAAAACTCGACCGCTCACTCGTATAATCCTATGATGAAACTACACCCACACCACCCATCATCTGACTAGAGCTCACAACCCACACTGAAAGGTGACATGCTTCTTGGCATCCAGAAATGGATGTCGACTGAAGTTGTGCTGTTTCCCCCTCTTTTCCCTAGGCTAAAACATAACGGAATAACGTAATTTATATGACATGAAATTTCAAATATTATTGATATGGCATATGTAATATGATGTAATATGATATGATATGATTTCTAAGTACACGTATTTAGTAATTCGTATGTAACATATTGTTGAAGTCACTGATACACACACTGTTCACTGTGAACATGGAATGGTGAACCCAGTGAGTAAACACACTGTTTACTGAATGCATTGATTGTTGAAGTCACTGATAAACACACTGTGAACATGGAATGGAGAACCCAGTGAATAAACACACTGTTTACTGAAAGCATCGATTGTTAAAGTCACTGATAAACACACTGTGAACATGGAATGGAGAACCAAGTGAGTAAACACACTGTTTACTGAAAGCATCGATTGTTGAAGTCACTGATAAACACACTGTTCACTGTGAACATAGAATGGTGAACCCAGTGAGTAAACACACTGTTTACTGAAAGCATCGATTGTTGAAGTCACTGATACACACACTGTTCACTGTTCACATGGAATGGTGAACCCAGTGAGTAAACACACTGTTTACTGAAAGCATTGATTGTTGAAGTCACTGATAAACACACTGTGAACATGGATTGGAGAACCCAGTGAGTAAACATACTGTTTACTGAAAGCATTGATTGTTGAAGTCACTGATAAAAACACTGTGAACATGGAATAGAGAACCAAGTGAGTAAACACACTGTTTACTGAAAGCATTGATTGTTGAAGTCACTGATAAACACACTGTGAACATGGAATGGAGAACCCAATGAGTAAACACACTGTTTACTGAAAGCATCGATTGTTGAAGTCACTGATAAACACACTGTGAACATGGAATGGAGAACCCAGTGAGTAACACACTGTTTACTGAAAGCATTGATTGTTGAAGTCACTGATAAACACACTGTTAAACATGGAACGGAGAACCCAGTGAGTAAACACACTGTTTACTGAAAGCATTGATTGTTGAAGTCACTGATAAACACACTGTGAACATGGAACGGAGAACCCAGTGAGTAAACACACTGTCTACTGAAAGCATTGATTGTTGCAAGTCACTGATAAACACACTGTGAAATAGAATGGAGAACCCAGTGAGTAAACACACTGTTTACTGAAAGCATTGATTGTTGAAGTCACTGATAAACACACTGTGAACATGGAATGGAGAAGCC